GCTCGAAACGCGTCTAGAGTTTTGGCCGCCTGCGCCGGTCTTCTAGCCAATCCACTGTGCGCCGGCAGTGTCCGCCCAGAATGTTTGTGACGGCCGGTGACGTATTGGTGTGGGGGTGGGGGGCGCACGCCTCGAAAAAGTGAGAGCATTTTTCCTGGCTAGTAAAAGATGCTGGTCCTCAGCCAATGGCAAAACCGCCACCGTTTTTAGAATGTGCAGTGCGTACCGCCAGCCGGTGGAGACCGACCTGCTCTCTTAACAAAACTACGTCGGTTGGACAGGCAGGTCAAACAACTAAAGGAAGTGCGCAGTGAAAATTCGACTCAAAGTTGGTTCTTTTCGCGTTACACTAGGAAACAGTCATTTAAAATTTGGTCCGTTCCGATCAACTCCTCTGCCTGCGCGTCCATTCATATTTAGATCTAGAGTGCGCCGTGGTGGGCCAAATGGGACGGCGAATCCCTTCCGGGGAGGCGGGCAGGAAGAGAGTGCACGCGAAAAATCGAGGGGAAACAGGGGAAGACAAAAATGTCATTTCCATACATGGTTACGAAACCAGATGAAGGGTGCGCAGGTGGGGCCTGCTCGCCGGCCTGCGTCCCTTCGGGCCTTCGGGCGTTGGGGCGTTGGGGCCTTCGGGTGCCGTCGGGTCCCTTCGGCCCACGGAAGCCCTACTGCACGGGGGTGATCCGGATCCACGGGATCAACTCCCCCACCTCGGATCCGAGAGGCGACACGCCCGCAAAAAGAATGACTCGCTCGAGGAGTGTCTGGTACAATGGTGATAATGGCAGCCGGGCCTCGCTGCACACTTGCACAGCGCTGCATGGGCCAGAAGACCGGTGCAGCCGGCCAAAACTCTAGAAGCGTTTAGAGCTCCAGGGTCGCTAAATGGGACTCGAATCGAACGTGTGACCCCATCAATGGATTGCTCTCCGAAAAAGGAATCCATTGGTGGCGTTCGGTTCGAGTCCCATTTAGCGACTCTGGAGCTCAAAACGCGTCCGGGATTTCGACCGCCTCCACCGGTCTTCTGGCAAATCCACTGTGCGCGGCGAATCCCCGCCGACCGGGGCGATGCAGGCGAGGGCTGCCGAGTGCTGCAGCACTGTAGGCAGCGAACCGGAAGCCGCGAATTAGGTAATACGCACGCAATGTCAGTGGCGAGGCGCGGCCCGCCGTGGGGAGGGGTGGGGAGGGGTGGGGGTGGGGGCACGACCGGCCGCGCCGTGGCCCCAATCTAATTCTGGTGACTGAAAATGACTTAGAGCGAACGCTCCTACCGCCCCGACCGTGCCCGCGGCCCGCGCGAGTCCGTGGGGGGCCGCGGGGGACACCGGGGTTCGCCGAGGTCCTTGGGGGGAGGGGGTGGCTCATGTGAGGGGCCCTTGGGGGAGGGGCGGGGGACTCGTGTGGGGGGTCCTTGGGGTCCATGAGGAGCCCTTGACGGGGCTGGGGCGCCGGGGGCGCGGGAAAGTCCCCGGCGGCGCGGCGGGGCGGGACACTGGGACACGTTCAGGGTTCGGCCCGGTTCGGCCCCGGGCCACGCGAGCAGCCTTCACGTCAGGTGCCAAACATCAACCCTTTCCCCTGCACCGGCTAGCTCGGCTAGCTCGGCCAGCTCGCGGCAGTGGCCAGTGGCCAGCCGAGGGCGGGGGCCGCAGGGGGCCGCAGGGGAACGTCGCTAAGCCAGCAGGCAGGCCCAGGGCAGGCCCAGCTCGCCGCACCAGCGCCGTGGCGCTTGGCGCTTCTGCCCGCTGCGCCTGCCGCGGCCTGCCTCGCTCGGCCGACAGAGACAGAGACAGAAATACAGCGAAGGCCGTGACGAAACTTGGGGCCTTGCGATCGGGCATCTCCCTCTCCCAGGCAGTGTCGCACCGAGGGAGCGGGCCAGCAGCGCCAGCAGCGGGACGACACACAAACTGCCCGGCCCCCAGCACGGCAGCACGGCGCGAAAATTAAACAGCCAACTACACTGCCGCGCCAAGTAGTACACCGTCAAAACGAGATTAATTTAATCGATGAAGTTTGGCGGGCAATGGGCGGGCCCTTGGCACCAGCGCAGCGCCGCGCGACCCTTGGCGGCGAGGCACAGTGGGCCAGAAGACTGGTGGAGGCAGTCAAAATCCCGGCGACGCGTTTTGAGCCCCGAAATCGCTAAACGGGACTCGAACCGAACGCGTGACCCCACCAATGGATTGCTCTCCGAACGAGGAATCCGTTGGTGGGGTCAAACGTTCGGTTCGAGTCCCATTTAGCGACTCTGGAGCTCAAAACGAGTCTAGAAGTTTGGCCGCCTCCACCGGTCTTCTGGCCCACTGAGGGCTGCCCCCTTCGGTCCGCTGGGCCAAGTGCACGCGCCCGGCCCAGCACCCTGCGTCCCTCGTCCCTGCGTCGAGCCCACGGCCTGGCCTACGGCCGCCTCGACGGCCGCCTCTGGGTCCGAGGCAGTCCTGGGTCCTCTAGGCTAGGAATAGCCTCCGTCGCCTTCACTGCCGCCACTCTCGATCCGAGTGCCGACCGCGCCGACGCGCCGAGTCTCGTGCCTGGGCCGAGTCCCGGCCGGGCAGGCCGCGCGGCACGCACGCGAACCAGAAAACGCAGAGGGCGCCCCTGGGAATCGAACCCGGCCCAACCGGGGGACCAGCCCTCCCTCCAAGTTCGCCAATTCCAACAACAGCAGAGCGGCCCGACACGCCCACTCCGACGCGGCCTGTCTACGACACTGACAAGTGGAGATTTTTTTCCCCCGCCGAAATTAAAAGCTCAATGCAACTTTGCCTAAGGAAGGCTCTTCCCCGTTCCACCAGCGATTATTCCTTCTGTTGATTCTGTTGATGATTTTAAGTGGCACGCGCTGAACTCATTCCGTTAAGGGCCGACTTTTCACTGTCACAACACACACGCGCATACGCACACGAAACAAAACGTGACGCTGATGTACTCACAATTCAGCACTCGGCGCGGGGCGCTGCGGCGGCGGGGCGGCGTGAGGAGGGCATTTGGCGACGCACTGACACCGACACGGCGCACGCACACACGCGCGCACACACGCGCGGACACATGCGCGGACCGGGCCACGGCTCGGCAAGGCCCGCCCGCACTGATTCCACTGATTTCGCTTTTTCTTAGCGATTCACACTTTTGCACTGGACGGCACTGCACTGCACACTGCTCGGCCTCCCTCTTGACGGTCGGCGAGGCCCGCTGGGTTCGCTGGGCAGCCTTGGCAGCCTTGGCAGCGCCCGCTAGGCAGCCACCAGCACCACAAGCACCACATTATCCTGGGGGAAGACGGGGCGACGAGGCGCCGACCTGGCCGGCCTGTCGCACTGCCGCACTGGAGGGTGGCGGCGCGGCACTGCGCGGCACGTAAGGCCGGACGCACTTGGACGCGAGGCACTGCTTGGCGGCGGCGAGCTGGCGCGGCCCGGGGCGGCCGGAGCACGGCCGGCGGGGTGGCGACGCGACGCGACGAGACGAGACGGCACGCGACAGGGAAGACCAGCGCGGCGCGGGGCGGAGCGGCACAGAACCTGCCACGTTGCCGGTCCAGACGCGACTGACTCACCGCCCGCGTCCGCCGTCCCGTCCGCCCCGCCTCGGCCGCGGCCGGTGCTGCGCGGTGGCGGCGCTGCCGCGCTGCTGAGGAACCCTTCCCTCTGGGGGAGGGGGCTGCGGAAGGCGGGAGGGAGGGGGGGAGTGCGAATGCGGGGCCGTCAAATCCTGCGAGCGATTAAAAAGACGGCTGAGCTCTGAGGAGTCAAAAGGGTTGACAGCGTATCGGAAGAAATAGAAAGATAGTACATACCGTTCGCTCCCAGCTGGATGTCTGATCTGGTCTGAAGATCTGGTCCAGGTACAATGAATGAGAATGCAGAAGCGTCTGTCTGTGTAGCTGTCACGATACATTTTTCACTAATCGACTGCTACTACTCGTCTTGTGAGTAACCATTGAAACCTGTGTGGTCGTCGGTTCGAGTAAAACCTCATGAAGTCACCTGTTCAGGCCACTTCCCCGTTGTTTCTGACATCTACTCTCACCAAACCCGGCCCGACAGACGCTGTCCGGCGACCTGTCGCAGCGCCCTGAACTCCCTCTCGCAGACGCAGCGCGCTGTCTCTCTCGCACTCAGCGACGAAATCATACGTCCGGGAGTATCGCCGTGAGGGCAGAGCCGGCAGAGCGGTGACAGAGACAGACCGCCAAGCGCCAAGCTCCACTGAGCTGCCTCAATGTGTGCCCAGGTTACGACATCGGTTACGCCCTGTGACCGAAGTCGTCTGACCCGAGTGTGGTTTGAGAACCCGCCCTTTAAATTCGTCATTCAAAATTAAGATGCTCCCTAAGATAATGTAAGGAAAAGGGGGAAAACAAAATCACTCAACTTTTTCATCCAGAGAGAATGGAGGGTGTCTATTTCGGCAAATGAAGACTCTGCATTACAGGTACACGCAGGTACACAATTATATGCATGGTTTATCAGCTGGTTGCTTGAGCAAAAACACTGGTGTTCGATTTGAAAATGAGATCAGTCGTGCAAATGGACATAAACTTGACACACAAGGTGCATTGATGCTCATTGAGAGGACAAATTTTCATCAACTTTTAGTGAGTGGAGAAAGGTTCAAACTAAGCCAGTGATTTGAGCTGGAAAATCACACACAAGTTTTTTGTAACAAAAGTAAGCAGCATCTTGGCACACAGAAAGATCGCTAGAAGGTAGTACTTATATAGAAGAAATAAAAGACCCCAATGTGCAAAGGGGTAAATCTGCTTCTGGTACATTTTAGGTTGACTTGTTAGGACGTAGTTATGTAGCTATTGAATGAACTAACCAAAAGTGCAGAAGCACATTTACTATCATCTTGTGCCCTTAGTTTCAATGCTTATCACAAAGATAATGCCACCCTCATAGTAAAAGCAGTTCTTCACTTTTCCATTTAGCCAGGCTCAGTAATCATAGAAAGCCAAAGAAACAAATAAAAAGATAGGAGTTACAACGTCCGTAGCAGAGAAATTAAGTTCTATTTGATATAACATCATCACAAGGTTTATTATAATATTCATAAAAGGGGAGCTATAAAACACATACCAACAAATTTCTAAGTACTAGATAATCACAACACGGCCAAGGCAGGATACGACAAACAGGTAATCATCACACAAGAATCTCCTGATAAAGAGTGGGGAGAGCATATTGCTTATACACTAAGAAAGAAATTTATAAAATGGAACTCTGTATAAATCACAACTCCTGTACAAACAGGTGAACTTTTGTTTTGCACAACACAGTATTGTGATATGTTACATTCTAAAATTACTTAACAGATAAACACACAATAAAGCAGTTTATAAGTATTGCTGGTATCAAACGTTACAGGTATAAATAGGAGAATCACAGCTTGGACAAAATTTCTACAGATAAACAAATGCTCAAAAACTAAGAAAGGACAATAAATTTTGGGGCAAGAGATGCCTTCTATTCTGTATATCAGCAATAATTTTCAATGGTTCTGTTCTCACATGCACAGGTTGCATTTCAGATTTCATTTTTATCAAGAAAGGTGTCTTTTACAACATTATTACTAATCAATATCAGACTAAGCATTTTATTTGTATTGCTTTCAAATAAAAATGTTCTGATGGATAAAAAGTTTGCAATGCATACAACAATATTGTTCCACTGGTCCCTCCAGTATCAAATTCAGTTAACCCACAACTGCATGCCTCTTTCAAGCGCCACATTGCAGAGAAGTTGCAGGAAGATACAAAACAAAAAACAAACAAAAAAAAACAATCTATTAGGTTAGTTTAGACTGCTTTTCCCTTTTGAAAAAATGCTGACAGGCATACTCCCACATAAAAAGGGCGCCTGTGACATGGACATTGAGAGAACGAACAACACCACATTGAGGAACTTCCACACATTGGTCCAATAATGGCAACAAATTAGAGGGCACTCCCTCTCGTTCATTCCTGTAACAGAAAAATTCAAACACAGAGGTCAGTTCTAAAATATAACATCAATATATTTAGAAGGAAAGCATGTGCCCCTCCAGATATTCTTACCCCAGGAGAAGAACAGTGTGAGAAGGAAAAGATGTACTGTTCAGTGGAATACTGCCAGCTGTTTGTTCCGCACCAACCAAAGTGTATCCCATACTTTTCATGTCTGTGAGGAAATGTGCAAGTTGATGAGGTTTCACCTTGCAAAAAGAGGATAAAAGATCAGTGAAGTGCACCTAATTTTGGATCATTTCACGCAATGAATGAAATTTCAAGTTTTAACTTACTTCACACATAGGAATCCACATTTCTGCAGACATGCTCAAAGCTCTAAACTCACGATCCTGTGCACAACTTAAACTTGGCAATACTAGTGCAGCTCCCATTATTTCACAAGTGCGAGCTAGACCTCCTTGGTTTGGTGCCTTGTCAATGAGAGAGGCTACAACAATGAGGCTTGGCTTGTTGTCTGACTGAGAAAATTTAGCTCTCTGCTTATTCTGCTGGAGAGATTCTGGGAGGGATTGAATCAGCTCTTCAGTTGGATCCATCCACTTCCAGGGGATCATCTTTTTCTGAAAGAGCATTCCATCAACACCATCCCCTGATGTATCTGAAGCACCTGAAAATAAGGGCAAAAATCATTAGTTTTATTTTTCCTCTTTTCTTTTACTAGTGTATAGTGTAATTCATATTTAATTGTTGTTTTTTTTTTAATCTTACCAGAGGTTGGCCTTTGCACCCAAGGTGAAGGTTGAAACTCTTTAAGTCTATTGTCTGGGTTTCTCAAAGGAATCTGAGTAGTATGTGTTCTCAATCCAGCAGAGAGCAAGTCATCAACAGTGATCCATTCATCACTGGTGACACTTGCAAGTCTAGGTAAATCTTCTAAAATGGTCTAGAGAAGAAAACAAGATTAAATTACAATAGTACATGCATAAAGGAAAGAGCTCAGTACAGAACATAATGAGAGAGAAAAAAATAGCTTACTTGGAGTGTGTAATATTTGGTTGGATGGAACGCATGGAAATAGAAATCATGTTGATGTCTCGTGTGGCCGGCACCACTGGCTTGGTGCAAGCTTGTGCATACACCACGAACAACAACATCATAAACTGAATGTACATTTTGCAATTTCAATCGTTCAACACATTGCCACAGTTGTAAGATAGCCACCTAAATTTTACAGTAAAAGATAAAAAAAAAAATTTAAAAAAAAAAAGGATTGAAGTTTGAGTAATGTTAATTTTATTTTAAGAGCAAGATTCTGCGATCACATAGCTGTCTACATTACCTGGGCATGCAGACGAACATTAAAGTGCTGAGCCATTGTGTACGGCACAAGAACACCCATCGCATTATTGAAATATTTCTCCATCTCCAACACGGATACACTTGATGACGCCTCCAACATCAAAGCTGTGTGAAGAATTACACCAACCAAAGAGCATACTGCACCAGCTCTGATATCAACTCCCTGGAATAAATTTGTCACAAAAAACATTATTTTTTGAGTTATGAAAGTCACATATAGCACCAAATTTTAAAAAGGAACAAAAAATACTGCATACCTTGTTAAACATGTTCCAAAATTCCTCAAGTTCTTCTGGTTTTGAACCAAGCAAACGAACTAAAAGCCATTCAGTTTGGTACCTTACACTAGGCTGATGATTTTCAGTAACAACAATATCTCTGGCCCAATTTATAAGAGTTTTTCTCCTTGCCTGAAGCATAGACACTCATTATAGTCAAGACAAAAAATTAAATTCAAGTTCCATTGTTATGATGCCTTACCAGTGAAATTGATGGCTCAAGAATAAGAAGGGCTTGCAAAATTCTATTTTTGCATCGGTGAGTTTGAGAGTCTCCAAAATAGCGGGTTCTGCGTAGCTCAGGGGCCTTTTCTCTTTCCAGCAAATCAAGTACAAAATGGTCAGCTACATTCTCAGACCAACTTGCCTTCACATGTCCCAGACAAGAGATTATTTCAACAGCTGAGGCCCGAACGGCGGCATCAGACCTATCTCCACTGTAACATAAGGGTACAAGTCAAAAGTTCATTCATTGTTTTAGTTTTTTTAAAGCTTTGAAAAATATGTGACAACAAAAGAACTCACAAAGGAATCAATACATTCGCTGAGCATCGATCACCCAATCCTTTGATGAATTTGCAAGTGTCATTAGTAGCTCTGTAAAAGATACCAAAACCAAATAAAATTTGAAAACATGTAGTAAAAATTTCCTAAGACAGCCTTTGACGAAAAAACAGAAGAAGACAAAAGTACAGTGTAATTTTGTACCTTTGATCTTTTCGGTGGACAGGACCAAATAAAAGAGCAGTGACAACAAGCTCTCTCAAAGGACTGCACAACAGTCCCTGCAGTGATTCTCGGGCAATAGTTTGTAAAGAAATCACTAATAAATTAGCAACACCAGAAACTGAATCACCAAGTTGAAAAAGATCTTGCCCACACTAAAAATAAGAAATTAAACCAATCCTTAATGTTAGTTTTAAATGTGTACAAACTATATAAAACATAATTAAGGAATACAGCTCATACCTTCAAGGCATAATTTGATGCCCAGCCAGAATTGAGCACCAAAGAAGACTGCATTAAAGTTGCAATGAACGCATTAAGAGCAGGCCAAAACAGTTCATTCCTCCTTAATTCCAGAACCGCATTCCAACAGTTTTCTAACAGACGCACACCACGACTGTGGAGGTTGGGTGGTAATCGGCTAAGTATATGCTTCAGCGAAAGAAGCAAGGGAGCTATGACAGAGCGTCCACCAAACTCAAGAGAGCTCTCTGCAGCATCCAGTGACACTGTCAGTGTTTCCTCATGCCAGTCCTTAGAGACTTCAGGTGAGACTGAAAGCAGCTCCCAAATAACCTGAAATCAACAATAAAATTGAACCCATATTATAAAATAAAATATTAATGGACAGCCTAAAAAAATATTGTTGCTAAATTTGTATTTCCAGTTTTCATCTAAACTTTACCTGAGTGTGAAGGGAAACTAATAAACCTTGCAGTTCCAACAATTCCTGAGGTAGTCGAGAATCTCGATGAGTGATCAAAGGTTGTCCAAATTGACCAGAAGTAAATATGACATTGATAGCTTCCATGATTATTGGTCTCAAATGATCCAGACATGAATGTTCTTGAATCATTGCAATAAACTTAAATATGCAAACTGCAAAATACACCTGCAATGGTGGGTTCTCAGCAAAATTTTTTAGGACCTCCAGAGCAGAGTACAAAAGAGAATCAAGGTTCAGAGTTGCCAGCATAGGTAAAGTTACTGGGTCTAACAATAGGATTTCTAAAGATGGGAGAAAGCTTGTTATTCTATGAAAATCAGCCATCTCCTGAACAGTTCTCAATCTCACAGCAGAAAGGGAAATGCAGTTCACCAAAGCATTCTTCACAAAGCAGATGACAATCTGTCTTGTGCAGTCTTCATCTGCATTCATAGGAAGAGGCTCACTCTCTTGAATGAGATGAGCAAGAAGCTTCATACAGAAGTTCTGAGAGTCTTGACATGCATATAAACGAGTTTCACAGTCAAGGATTGATTCAAGTATGGGTTCAATAGCATCCAAATTATCAAGCTTCCTTGCATCCAGCAAGAACGCAATAAACCGAGCCACGCCCATTTCAGGCTTCTCAGGTCTTGATGTTACCTTGGTCACCCATGATAGGGCATTATTACTATCGATAAATTTACACAACCAGCGAACTACACCCAGCCAAGCTTCAGTGCCTCGGCGTAGGCATTCGTCTCTGTTAAACACAGAGAGCAGATCACAGATAATATTAAGGTCCATCTGTTGTGGGTCTGTTAGATGTGTCAAGCACATAAGGAGTCTACTTTGAGTAGCAGCACGAATCATGACGCTTTGGGTCTGAAGTGTTACAGACACCAATTTTTGCATTTCTCGTAGGTCCCTAGGACTCCAACAAGATACAGGAGGAACTTGCGACAGGGCTTCTGAGATGAAAAAGAGTGGAACAGGGCTCCAGGGAAGGCAGGTTAAATTGTGCAGAAGATTTGAAAAGAAGTTCTTAGCACATGTTTGTCTAGAAACTGAGCAAAAGAATTCAGTGAGAATTTTTAAAATGTTGCCGTCTGCATTAAATAAGACAGGAGAGTTAATTGAAGGCAGAAGTGATTTCAGGATGAATCTGCTAAATGTTTGAGCTTCCTTTCCTGCCAGAACACCACAACCATCTGGTCCAAGCAGAGTCTCAATTCCCCACGTCACAATCACTTGACTTGGGTGCTGGAGGACTCTCTGGAAGGCACATAGTAGCCATGGTAAACTAATGCAAGTTTTTCTTGAGTTATGAGTATTTAACTGACGGCTTAAAATATTTAAGACAGGACGCACTAAATGAGCTTGCGCTTCTTCAAGAGCTTCCAGAACAAGGAAGAGATCTTGCCATGTAGCTTGGAGTGCATTTACGTTACCAACATCCCATTCAAACTCAGTAACATTTATAGATTTCCCACTCTTCACTAATTCATCAATGGCCCTTTTTAAAAGGTACAAAGCTTGTTTACGAGCGAGAGGTTGTTGAGCACATACTCCATTTTGAAGAAGACGCCAGAATTTGGGACGATCCACTAAGGGAAACCGCTTCAAACGGTGGGACCTCTGGTCTACAGGAAGAAAAAAGTCAGCAAGAGCACACACTGTTCCCAGGGAACGAAAACCTGACTCGTCACAGTCTAGACTACACAAAGCATCCCAGAGTTCACGAAGAAGTTGCACAGATCCTTCAACCTTGACTAGAAGAGGAATAAGCACCACTAATAAATGTGCTCTTTGTCCTTCATTCTGACCAAGAACCATTTGCACAAAGATTTGATGCAGTTTCATGTTACAGGTGTTAATGAATGGACTTAGATCATTAGTAGGGCTCTTCTGCTCATCATCATAGTCTGAGCCTTTCCGAGGATAAGTAGCGCAAACAGAATCCAAAACGACTTCAAGAATGTGCAGACAGGCTTCTGGCTTCAGGGAGGTTGCTTCAGGTGTGACTTCACTAAAGACTTCAGCACTGAGGGCATTTTCACATTCTGTTTTCACTGATGCAATCCATTCCTCTCTTTCACCTTCCTCCATCAAGGTCAAGGACTGCCTTAAAACATCACAAAGTAATGTCAAACAGCTGTCAGTGCCCCCAGACAAGTCTCGGAGTTCAGACAGGGCAAGTGTCATGGTGCATTTGGTCAAAGTTGCCTCAACACGGTGCTTGCCTGTCCTCTCCAGCAAAGTAGCGTTGAGTGTACGGAGGAGAGTGCAAAGCGTCTGAAGGGCTTTCCTTTTTTCTGATGAAATAGACAGTTGTCGGTCACCCAAAAGAAAACGTCCACACACGGCAAGAATGGCTTGGTTCAGGTTCTTGCTCATATCTTCTTGGCCCAGGTACTCCAACACACTTCTCACTTCATCCATTAGTTGGTCGTTTGCACAGTGTGCTGTTCCACCCAACAAGTTTCTGTACTCCATTTTTAATGAGTTCTCTTCTTTTACAGGAGTAATATTTCGTTAGTTGTACGAAGAGAAAGACACCCAAAGATGTAAAAACCTAAAGAGCTGAGGTTAGCACAATCCCACAGAAATGTGGTACGTCGGCAAATGCGATTTCTAGTCGTTGAATGAAGCAGGCTTGTCTGTTTCTTGTCACATTAATTCTCTAGCAACAACACTCTTTTTGCACAGTTAGTTCCAGGTAATCATTCCAATTATGTGACATTCTTCGAATTTTTGCGTTGGCCAGGAAAGTGTGCAAGTTGTTGTTTTGGTTTGATGTCATGGCAGACGACTTTTCCTGCAAAACAAGTGCCAGTGCCAGTCGGTTGCATTGTCCTGTGAATAGTGCCTCATGTCTCCTGAGAGCTCTTTTGAGTTTTTGTTTTGGCCGATAGGTGGCGCTGGCAAATCTTTAGATCCCCATTTTCTTTAAATTTGACCAGCAACACAGCCAGAAAAACACCAAACTCAAATTTCAAGATGCAATTTTTCTGCTTATCAAACCATTTGTAATAAGTATGTTCAAACGTCTTGCGATCCCTTCGCGGAGCAAGAGGGCAACGAAAGTAGTTCCGAAGTTGGCGTTAGCCTTGCCACTTGGGAGACATAGAATCGCGCATTGCGCTGGATATTTTCTGCATCCGTCAAACTAGAGGGCTTAGGGCTGGAAAAGAAGTGAAACAGTTACAGTGGTGTTTACAAGGGTGATTTATATAACTCCTCCTCGTAGTTATTCAATTCAGGTTGGTATATTTCATTCAAGTTGCACTTCTAAACCGCCTACTTACTCGTGGTGCATTTTCTGCATTCTCACGTGTTTGGTTTGGGTATCTGTTTATTTCTATTTACGTTGAGGGGCTCAATCAGATGTGGAACTTCTCCGTCCGTGGCAAGGCGGGTTCATTACGAAAGTTGATTTTAGTTGGATCTGATAGCCTGATTGCAGCTTCGTGCCTTTCGTTTCTGTTCATTTTGTTCAAATGGTGTGTCCTTCCGTACATGGTTTGCACGTCCAAATGCGGGTAAACATTGTCTATCCACTGGATAGACCCACCATAATATTTTCGGCTCCAATTAGTGATGTAATCCTAACCTAGAACTCATGGCTCGGTGCACAATCATACCACAATCTCATTGTCAAGGCTCGTCTTTCGTCTTTATTTGAGGAAGCTGCTCTCCATCAAATTAGTTTTTTTTCCGATTGTTGACTTTCTGTTTGGTGTTTGTGTCACATGCATATAAAGTTCCTTGTTTTAGATGTGCAATGACAATGTTAATTTGTATGATAATATTTTAAACAAATGTCAAAGGGCTTCTATTTTGGTTTTGCTTCAAGTATACGCAGTTGCATCTATGTACCATTTAGTACTCTCCTGATTTTGTTCAAGGCTGACCACCAGATTTTGGCCTTGAAGTGTTGGTTCGCCTTTGGTTCATAATGGTATCACCTTCTTTGAATTGATGTTTTTCCTGCATGATTAAATTTTGAATTTTTATGTTTCAGATTCATCATGGCTCACGAGCAGCAACAGTTTTTCCTGAAATGGAACGATTTCCAGTCAAACATGGTTTCATCTTTCAAACACTTGCGAGATGAGAAGAGTTTTACAGATGTCACTTTGGCATGTGAAGGACAGACATGTAAAGCACATAAGATGGTTCTCTCGGCATGCAGTCCATACTTTAAAACACTTCTTGAGGTATGTCCTGGCGAGAGTTCTAGTTTTGTTCAAATGTTTATCCTATTATTCGGACACTTATTCATTTTCTTAATTCTGTTTCAGGAAAATCCATCAAAACATCCCATTATCATTTTGAAAGATGTTCCTTTCAGCCATCTTCAGTCCATCCTGGAGTTCATGTATGCTGGTGAAGTTAATGTCTCCCAAGAACAGCTCCCAGCGTTTCTGAAGACTGCTGAACGGCTCAAGGTGAAGGGCTTGGCAGAGGCCCCGCAAGCCATAAAGCGGGAGTGATGGAGTGACAAAGACAGACTGAGAGGCCTGCAGGTGGTCAAAGGAACCTGTGAATGGAATGAGTTGGAGATGTTGGCTATCTGGATTTGTGTCCCGTGCTGAGAGTTGCTGCTTGATGATAAACTGTTCGCCTTTCAGATCGGGCTGTTAGGCTGCCGATTGTTCCATTTTATCATTGCCATTTGACTATGTAAAAGCACTTGTTGATTTATTTTTATTTTTTAAATGTATGTTCAAATTATTTGTTAGTTATGCCACTCAACCTTTGTGTAAACAATGGATCATCAAGAAAACTGTGTGGTTCGGTCTGCTTGTTTCTTATTCAAGATACATCACTTTTGTTACTGATCAATCCATCTCAAGTATCTGACTTCCAGATCAGTTATGATGCTTATCACAGCTTGAAGGGGGCTGATTAGATTGATTTTATATTTGCCAAAGAATGCTTTATCGGGTTATTTTCCTTTTCTTTCAATTGTTATTTTAGTCAGAAATAGTTGCTACTGGAAAAACTGACTTGTGTAGTTTCCTCAAATAAACCTAGTTTCTCCTTAATTTTGGTCTTGTCGTATATCTTTGTGTTTTTCGTCAGTAGAAACTCTTCCTCATGTTTTCACAGTGGTGGGCTTAAGTTTTCAGCACGGGTCGCAATTATTGAAAGATTATAAGTACATGTGTGAATGTAGTTGTACATAAATTTGTGCATAAGAATGTGATTCTGAGTGAGTGTGCTCTTAATGTACATGTGTTGCACAATTTTGTGTGTCTGGACATTAGTTAAGCAAGTATAGTTATTCCAGATGTTCTTTTGTACTTCAATCTTGTAGTTAAAAAAAGAAACAAAAAACAAATTGTGTGAATCGGTTCTGAACATAATTTCTGTTACAATTCATGTGGGATGAATAGTCTCCAAATGTTATTATTATTATAGTTGAATATTGAAGTCAGTTATTACTACTATGCTGGGAGGAAGAATGCACTCAATGTGTAGTGTGCTTGGTAGTACATTTTCTTTTAATATTTCTTTGTACACTTCCTACTGATGCTTTACTTGTTTATCTATACAATGTGTGCAGCCAAGCACAGATTTTTTTTTTCTTTTTATATCTTGGAAGCATGTGTGTTGCTTCAAGGACATTGCAGCCGGCCGGCCGGCAAGGCGGTTCTACTTTAAAGCTAACTTCTATTCTTCAAAAGTTCTGTTGGGTTGTCCCCACCAGATGTTTCAATTTATGGCATTTTCTCTGTGTACTATCACATTAGCCTGATATCCCTTGTTGTACAAAGATTTTCAAAGTTTTTCTTTTCTTTTTTATATTGCATTCTTTGTTTTGTTTGGTTTTGTAATGACGAGCCAATGAAGGACTCTGTTAAACAAGTAAATAAAATAACAATTTTGTGCAAACAAATTAAAGTCCTATCTCATTACCATTTTACTAAATGTGTTTTCCCATTCCTGAAGTGAAACTGTTTGCCCCCATGTCATGTAAAAGTTTTCTTTGGGACCTCTGTTAGAGCTGTGTTTTGTACCTGTGTGTTTTTGTTTTTCTCAACTTAATGCCCGTGTGCCTCTTATGAACATGTACAGCAAAGTGATGAAGCTGGAAGCATTAGATATGACACCTTTTCAGTTGTTGCTTTGGGTTACTTTTAATGGATAGGTTAGCCTGTTTCAGATTTCTTTGGGCAGACTTTATTTCTGGTGTACTGAAGAGGTGACCTCTTTGCAATAGGTTCTATACAAGCAGTTATTGCTTGTAGAGACTGATTTTGACAGAATTTTGTGGTTGACTTTGCTACTTTTTATTATCTCTTCTTGTATCAACTAAACCCTGTCAAGAACAATACTTTCAGTATGCATTTATTTATATTGATCTGCTGAAGATTAGTTGTCACTAAGATTGAATAAAAGTTATTTTTATCTGCATTTCATGTCAATTGACTTCTGATTGAAGGAAGCATATTTTATCCTTTTCAATAGCATTAAATTATTTTCTCCAAGAGAATAGTAGTTTGGCTGTGTTAGCAAACATGGTTTAAGTCAAATTTTACATTTTCATGATCATAGATTGATTGGAAGTTAATTGAGTAAGCATACATTTGACACACAATTCATAGATTGTTCTTCTCTAAGCTGGCAAAATTTTGTGAATGAGTGGAAAAGACTTCACTTGACTGATGAAGAGAGACTGTTTGATGAGTTTTTCTAAAGTCTTTTAAAATTGTAGTAGTCTCCTTTTTTGTTCATAGCTCAGACAATTGTGTGATTTAATTAGAGATGAACCAATATGCTCCTTGTGGAATTGTCCTTTATATGCAAGTGCCAACAGAAATTTATCCGTGTCTTAGCTTGAGTGGTTGGGATAGAGGTAAGAAGTTAACGACTGCCTGTCTGCATTAAGTGTTTTTTAGGAAGATGAATCGGGAAGAAAGAATGGACCATGTATAACAGATATTGTTCAAAATATTTGTGTATTTTCTCTTTCACCACCAAGGAACATTCATTTTTTATAGTGCAACAGAGCTGGATTCAGAGTCAACAGGAAGAATAATATACCAAATTTAAATCTAAAAAAGAGATAAGACAAACAACCTGAAATGTGTTTTCCCTCATTTAATGGCATAGAAATAAAGTATGGTGTAAATTTTACCGACTGTCTCCTGCTTGTGTCGTTATCCCTTGATAGAAACTCAGTTGATGCAATAATTTTACATTCCTGAGCACATTGAACACTACTGGAATGTTGCAGAAGCACACAAGCACCAAAAGAAAGTAAATGGTTCTCAAGTGTTGCACTTAAAAAACCAGTCAACTTAAACACACACGCACATTAATTCATACACTCACACAAACACAAGGTCCTTCTCCCTCAATGGAGAGTTGAATTATTTCGAAAGTTCTGTACAAATATACGCACAATGTGCCCCAAACATCTAAACGAACCGAAGGAGTTGAACGAAGCATCGGCGGCATGCGCGCCCGAGGAGTAGGCAACCCAACGAACACCAACCTCGAGCGTTGGGTTGCCTATCCCTACGGCGCCATCTCCAGGTTTTCCGGGTTTCCGAGGTTGTCGAACCGCGTCGGGTAGGCTGAGATTTTAAAAGGTTTTTATTCATCAGAAGTTACAAACATTTTTACACTCCTACTATGCTAAGATATTCTGTGCAAATGTTTGTAACTTCTGATGAATAAAAACCTTTTAAAATCTCAGCCTACCCGACGCGGTTCGACGACCTCGGAATTGCCAAGTAGGCTTTTGGGACACACTGCACAAAGAATAACACATATAATATAGGATCACAGTCCACTCAGCTGCGCCATGCGATCAACTGATAGAAATGAAAACGAAAGAGTGGGAAGGCTTGAGACATTCCTACACGAGTCCGCATTGTCACGTCGCGGAAAATGCATGGTGTGGTCACTTCGAAGGCGTGTCACAGTCCGTCACAACAGAGACGAAGCACCCCGCCATTTCTGGTGAGACTGACTCTGCAGAGGCGTAAGGGGTCGCGGGCTGCGAGCTACGCCCGGCTACGCGGCTACGCCTCCGAGTCCTGGCAGTGCGACAGCATCTCGGCGGCGATGTCCTCGGGCGTGCGCAGGTCCACGACGCGCGGCGCGGGCGCGGCCTGCTTGAGCTTGACGGCGCGGCTGTACTCCTGGAAGGCGGCGGCCAGGGCGTACGTGAGGCCGCGCGCCGCCGCCCGGGACTCGCACACGAAGGCGTGGCATCGGAAGGGCGGGCCGGGCGCGTCGGACCGCGACACCAGCACGCAGCAGAAGACGCGCGTGTACACCAGGTCCTGCACGCCGTACGAGATGCAGTCGATGGGGAGCATGGTGCTCTGCACGTCGCCGTCCACGCTCACGCCCTCGGCGGACACGTGCAGGGTGGCGCGCGGCAGGCTCTGGCCGGCGGGCAGCGCGCGCGCCGACGCCACCATGGCGTCCACGGGGGCGCGGGTGTGCTTGACGCCCCACAGGCCCCGCGACTCGCGCCACCCCAGGCACTTGACGCTGAAGGACTGCGGCAGGCTCGGCGCCGGCTCGGCGGCCGCGGTCCGGGACGTCGGCGTCGACGCCATCACGTCCACGTCCTTGGCGTAGTTGGTTGTTGTTGTTGTTGGGCACGATGGGCGTCGACGTGCTGTTCGGCCGGCTGGACACCCAGGCCGACGCGCTGCTCGAGAACTTCTTCATGAGGGCGGCCTTGGCGCTGAGGCGCGCCTGCGCGCACTTGGACTTGGACCGGCGGCGACCGGGCGTGCGTCCGGGCGACCCCACCGGCGCGGGGTTGGCGTGGGGATGTGCGTCGCGGCCCCGCGGCAGGCTGGGCAGGCAGCCCCAGCCGGGGGAGCGCAGCGGCGAGGGCGAGCAGGAGCGCTGCGCCGAGCGAGCCGAGCGCTGCAGGAAGCGCGGTGTGGTCCGCTCGGAGCGAAGAGCACCGTGATGCACCGCGGAGCGCGAGCGCGGCGACCGCGGGGACTGCACCAAGCGCAGCGTGCGGCTGACGGGGCGCCGCGGACGGGTGCAGCGCGGGGACAGCCTGCAACAAGCAAACGGCGTGGTCAGCCCAAGGTTGGCCCAAGGACATCGAAGGGGCAGAGAGCCAAGGCAGCACCTCCTGGAACTACCAGGAATCCTCATTCATTCGTTAGTTCGGCCATTCATTCTTTCAGTCGTGCACTCAATCACGGGCAATTTAGGCGGCACAGTGGGCCAGAAGACCGGCGCAGCCCCTGACAAACTGAGGGCCAGGTCAACTCGGGGGTAACTCGGGGGTAACTCAGGGGTAACTCGGGGGTAACTCGGGGGTAACTCAAGGGGAAGTCGGGGGGAAGTCGGGGGGAACTCGGGGGGAAGTCGGGGGGAACTCGGGGGGAAGTCGGGGGGAACTCAGGGGCAAGTCGGGGGGAACTCGGGGGGAACTCGGGGGAACTCGGGGGCAAGTCGGGGGGAACTCAGGGGTAACTCGGGGGCAAGTCGGGGGGAACTTGATCGACTCACCCAAACACTAGAAATACGCTCCAAACTAGCACCGTTGCCTTTGTCTCGTTGCCCCGATTCTAAAAGTGCCCCTACTTGCCCCTCTAGCTCAGCGGTTCCCAACCTTGGGGTCGCGACCCCAAATGGGGTCGCGAAAAAATTTTGAGGGGTCGCGGCGAGGTGGCTGGGGTCGCCTGGGGTCGCGGTGGTTTCCCGGCTGGCCCACACGCCGAGCACTGGCTGCTTAAATGCCGCAAAGTTGATCAAAACGGTCACAAATGTGTGTAAAAGATCGTGTTTTGGGTCGACTTTAAGCATCCACTGCTTCTGATCCGAGGCGGTAAATCGCCCTCCCTCAACGGGCAATTGGTCTTTGGACCTTCCTTTTGCATGCCTTTGTTACGGAGTGCAATTATCTGCCTCAGTTTGGAAGCAGTACTGCCGCAAAGTTGGTCTAAACAGTCACAAATGTCTGTGAAAAATCGTGTTTTGGGCCGACTTTAAGCATCCACTGCGTCTGATCCGAGGCGGTAAATCGTCCTCCGTCAACGGGCAATTGGTCTTTAGACCTTTCTTTAGCATGCCTTTGTTACGGAGTGCGATTATCTGCCTTAGTTTGGGAGCAGTTTTGCCGCAAAGTTGATCAAAACGGTCACAAATGTCTGAAAAATCGTGTTTTGATCAACTTTGTGGCAAAACTGCTCCCAAACTAAGGCAAATAATCGCACTCCGTAACAAAGGCATGCTAAAGGAAGGTCTAAAGACCAATTGCCCGTTGACGGAGGACGATTTACCGCCTCGGATCAGACGCAGTGGATGCTTAAAGTCGGCCCAAAACACGATTTTTCAGACATTTGTGACCGTTTTGATCAACTTTGCGGCAAAACTGCTCCCAAACTAAGGCAGATAATCGCACTCCGTAACAAAGGCATGCAAAAGGAAGGTCCAAAGACCAATTGCCCGTTGAGGGAGGGCGATTTACCGCCTCGGATCAGAAGCAGTGGATGCTTAAAGTCGACCCAAAACACGATCTTTTACACACATTTGTGACCGTTTTGATCAACTTTGCGGCATTTAAGCAGCCAGTGCTCGGCGTGTGGGCCAGCCGGGAAACCACCGCGACCCCAGGCGACCCCAGCCACCTCGCCGCGACCCCTCAAAATTTTTTCGCGACCCCAAGGTTGGGAACCGCTGAGCTAGAGGGGCAAGTAGGGGCACTTTTAGAATCGGGGCAACGAGACAAAGGCAACGGTGCTAGTTTGGAGCGTATTTCTAGTGTTCGGGCGAGTCGATCAAGTTCCCCCCGACTTGCCCCCGAGTTACCCCTGAGTTCCCCCCGACTTGCCCCCGAGTTCCCCCCGAGTTCCCCCCGAGTTCCCCCCGAGTTCCCCCCGGCTTGCCCCTGAGTTCCCCCCGACTTCCCCCCGAGTTCCCCCCGACTTCCCCCCGACTTCCCCTTGAGTGACCTCCGAGTTACCCCCGAGTTACCCCTGAGTTACCCCCGAGTTACCCCCGAGTTGACCTGGCCCTCAGTTTGTCAGGGGAGGCGGCCAAGACTCTGGACGCGTTTTGAGCCCCGGAGTCGCTAAACAGGACTCGAACCGAACGTGTGACCCTGCTCTCTGAACGATGAATCCATCGTTTCGAGACCTGTTTAGTGACTCCGGGGCTCAAAACGCGTCCGGGATTTTGACCACCACCTCCACTGGTCTCCTGGCCCACTCGTGGAGAGTGCGACTACTGCAAAACACGATGGTTATCACCGCGGCGTGAGTGCCCCGCAGCCACGCAGCGCGCGGAGGGACGCTGCACCCGGCTGGACGGGCTGGACCAGGCCGGAAGTGCCCCAGTGTCGCATTTCCGCTGCGGTCTGGACGGTCTGGACGGCGCTCCGGCCCGGCTCGCACAGCGCCGCACGGCGCCGCACGGCGCACAGCCAGAGCGGCTCGCGATTGGCGATAACGGTCATACCGATGACACATCTCTCTCGTACCCTGTGGACGCCATGCGAGTGCGACAGAGACAGAGAGCCTGCAGGACCGCCAGGGCGAGTGCGAGCCCCAGTCACCCCAACACAGTCGCTAAAGCGTGCTCACGTTTGATCACTGTTTGACTCGAACTGCATTGTTCTCCTCGTTCGAGTCCTCGCTCGCCTCGCTGGGCGGAGCGCGGTGCGTCGACCTGTCCTAACCAGACCGCGCTGCCGCGTCGCGTCGCGTTCCAAAGCATAAAGCCATAACGTCCCGCCCAAGCCGCGCGGCGCTCCGTCGGACGCGGCTGAATTTTAAATCGGGAAGACGAGGACGGGCAGGACGACGACGGGCCGTCTGCATGTCAATCCCCCTCCCGGTTCTTCCCGACCGGAGTCGCAAGCTGGCAAAGCCCCTCGTCGAATGTCGAATCGTCGAACTCCGAGTCGACAGCGCTCAGTGGATTTGCCAGAAGACCGGCGCAGGCGGCTAAAACTCTAGACGCGTTTGGAGTCGCTAAATGGGACTCGAACCGAACATGTGACCCCACCAATGGATTGCTCTCCGAACGAGGAATTCATTGGTGGGGTCACACGTTTGGATCGAGTCTGGATCGACTCTGGAGCTCAAAACGCGCTCAGCTTTAGGCCGCCTGCGCCGGTCTTCTGGCCCACTGTGCAGCGGCGCTTCATCGCCTTGGCCTGGCATCGTAGCACTGCCACACCGTCACGGCCAATGCCTTGTTGGGCTCGCAGCGCGCAGCGACTCGCAGTGTGGTGGTGTCGTCCACTACGCTGGAAAAGCAGTCAGCCAGTCGTCCGCTGGAAGGACGAAGACGCGATCCACGGGCGCTCCAAGGCGAGGAATGCAAGTTGCAAGGGGCCAGAAGACCGGTGGAGGCGGCCAAAATTCCGGACGGGTTTTGAGCGGTTTTGAGCTCAACAGTAACTAAATGGCACTCGAACCAAACGTGTGACCCCATCAATGGATTGCTCTCCGAACGAGGAACCCATTGGTGGGGTCACACGTTCAGTTCGAGACGTACACAAACACACACATGCACACGCGCCCGAGCGACCGTACAACACGTGCCTGGGCCTGCAGGCTCCAGCCCTTGGGTCTCCGCGGCGTGCCGCTGAGTCCGCTGCTCGGCGGGTCCGGCGGCGCGGCTGGCTGGGCGGCAGGGCTCTCCGCGGACTCGGACCGGTGCTGCCCGCTGCGCTATACGTCGCGTCGCGTCCGTTCCGTCCGTGCCGTCCGACCGGCAAACGTGTTCTGTTAGAGCCATCCGCCATCGGGCTGTCCTATCCGCACATCCAGTCCTGGCGACACGCACACACGCGCGCGCGCACACACACGCACACATGGCGAGGACTCAGTGCAGGCCAGCGGGCTGGTCACTGACTTTTACTCGCACTGCAACTACGGCGTTCACTGCAGTGCCCCGTTGGTTCCGTTGGTTCCGTTCGGACAGCCGTTTGGATCGCCTCGGTGTTCCAGAGTGGGCCAGAAGACCGGCGCAGGCGGCCAAAACTCTAGACGCGTTTTGAGCTCCAGAGTCGCTGAATGGGACTCGAACCGAACGTGTGACCCCACCAATGGATTGCTCTCCGAACGAGGAATCCATTGGTGGGGTCACACGCTCGGTTCAAGTCCTGTTTAGCGACTCTGGAGCTCAATACGCGTCTAGAATTTCGGCCGCCTCCGCCGGTCTTCTGGCCCACTGTGCTCCGGTGCAGATGGCCGCGTGTCGCTGCCGTTCGATGCCGTACTTACTCATGGCCCCGGCGAGGGCCTTGCGGGTTGCCTCCAGCGCCTCAGCGCCCTGCCTCTCATGGCCTCACAGCGGTTTTCCACGGAACCGGCTGCGGGGCGCTCAGGGCGGTCGGGGCCCGCCGGCCAATGGGGCGACCGCTGCACCGCGGTACACTTTGCACTAAGTGTCGCGTCGCGGGCACCTTCGCCGCGGCGGCAGGGCGTTCGGGTGCCGTCGGGTAGCTTCGGGTGCGTTCGGGTACAGGCGCGCGGTGCGACGGGCAGGCGGTGCATGCGAGTACTGCTACCTTGATTCGAGGCACACGGGATGCCTGTTGCCTGTTTGGTCGCTCGGACCCGCGACACTCACTCCTGTGCCCGCCCCGCCCCGCCCCGCCCCGCCCCGCCCCGCCACTCACCCGCGACGCCATCCACACGTCCCAGTCCGGACGTCCGCCGCTCTGCCGTGCCGACCGTCTGTCTGTCTGCCTGCTCGGCGGTCCGTCCGTCCGTCCGTCCGTCGGCCAGGACGGTTTGTTTGGACCGTCCCAACCGTCCCAACAGTCCCC